GGGTGAAACGGTGTCTTAAGACGAGACTGGGACTGTCCCAGGTGCTGAGGCCGTGGGCGCTGGTGACCCAGCGGGAGTCTGTGTTTCCTATGGCTTGTGCTCCTGCCGGAAGTGCCCCAAGGCCAGAGGAATCCTCAGACGTCCATCTCGGCCCTGTTTTGCCCGTCTCAGGGCTGGATTCCCTGGAGCTGTGTGTGTGCGGAGGTTCGTTCCTCAGAGGCCACAGTCCAGGGGGTGGCATCCTGCATCCCACATGGGGCTCTTGCTGGGTTGTGGGTGAAGGCCCTTGAGATCACAGTCTCTAAATAGCCTCTAAGGAGCCAGAGGGTAAAAAAAAAAAGAGGACTTTCCATCTTCCCACGTTGGCGATTTAAAAATACGCACTTTTCCATCGTGGTGGAACTTTCCAGGGGAAGGTGGGCTGAGCGGCGCTGGATGGAAACCAGCTCCGGTGGTGTGTGCGGCTTCTCCGGCTTCTCCCTGTGGGTTAGATTTCACCAGTCCTCATGGGTGTCCCTGGGTGGGGGAGCCCACAAGCCCCAGCAACACTCTGCCCCCAGGCTGCTGGTTAGTTATTAATACCCCTCACCACCACGGAGTTGGGGTCACCGGCGGTTCACGCCTCCCAGAGAGCAGGGCTTTGGGGAAACCTGTGTTTCGGGAGGGGAGAAGTTGACCTTTGGGGTCTTGCTGCTACTTCCTTAATCGGAAGCAGTGTGACAAGAAGGCGGAAGAAACGCCACATTTGTACCCCAGCTCTGCTGCCCCTCTGTGAGCTGGGAGGACCAGGTGAAACTGTCGGCCCCCCCCCCCGAGAGGGTTAGAGCCAGGCCACCCAGCTCGCCCAGGTTTGTCCCGCAGGAGAACATGGAAATATATTGCCCCCAAATGGAATCTCGCTTCTTATAGAAATAGGACTGTGCTTGCTAAATTGAGACAATGTTGATGTACATGTGTAGAGGGCAGCTACATGCGAGTGAATTGTTGCTGAAACCCGAGTATGGGCATATTGGCTTTTCATGAATAGGTGTGTAAACCTTAAAAATATTATTTCGCAATGATGTCATACTCTATATGTGGGGCTTATGTTGGCCTTATCCATTAAGAAAAATACAGATTTATTGAGATACAATTCACATACCATGTAAGTCACCTTTGTAAAGTGTATAATTCAGTAGGTTTCTTTTTAGTGTTTTCAGAGTCATGCGACAAATACCACTTTTCAATGTTAGAATATTTTTATCCCCCGAAAAGGAAACTCCATGTCCATTAACAGGCGCCGCCCCCGCCCCGCCCACTTCCCCTGGTCCCCACTTGGTTCTCCCCGGTCACTGAACAAAGCGGCGTTATCCTGCTTTTACAGAGGAGGAAGTGGAGGCTGAAGGGTTAGCTGGCTTAACGCGAGCCTTCTCAATGCCCCACCACCTAGATCTCATCCCCTTCTAGAATTTTCTCTGCCCCACGCAATGTTGTGACAATAATGTGCACCATGCAGGGTTCAACAGCTCCCTCTGTCTCTTGCCTCTTGGGGAGAAGGTGAGTGATGGAGGCGACAGGGCTTAAGCGCTCAAGTTCTCAGGTCAGACTTCTACACTGTATCCTGGTTCTGTCACTTAAAGGGTCTATTGACATGGACAATTGGCTTCACCTCTGAGCCTCACTTGGCTCGTCTGTAAGATGGGAACGAGAACCTCACTGTTGGGGAGATTCAGGGACCTGGCGCCAGGAAAGCCCCTAGATTTTCAGCAGCAGGGGAAGGAGATAGAATGCATTTAGTTTCCTTGGAGTCCTTCACCCCGAGCCTTTCCCACCTGCGCTCTCACCTGGGCTGGGTCAGGGAGGCCAGTATGTTCAAGGTAAATAAAAATGTCACAAAGGGCTCGTTCAGTCCCTCCTGGCTGTAAGAACCATTGTGTTTTAACAAGATGCTCCCAGTGGCAGCTAGAGATTCCCACTTCCCCATCTGCCAGCCTGGCCCTGGCTGCTGAGTAGTTTCTCCATTGTCCCGTTCATGTGGGCCAGCCTCACGCCCGGGCCTTCCACCTGAAAGCAAAACCTGTTCGTATCTTACTCTTCCCACCTCAACAAGGCTCCCCGGCCCCGATGCCTTCAAACGAAGAAGGCTTGGCTCTTCCGAGCCAAGTGCAAACTGCGGCTTGGAAGAGGGGAGCTGGTGCATTCACGGTTGATTCACGGATGAGTCAACACCAGCCTGTAGCATCTGGCCCTCGGTGTCACCGCCTGTAACCAGAGAACGCTTAGGATCGTTTGGCAAGGCCTTCCCTCATCAAAGGCCTGGTTCTGTTCCCTAAGTCACTATTCATTGTTCTACCGCCCATAAGGGCCTATCCACATAGCTGGTCACATTTTCCTGCAAATAACAATTTTCCAGCAAAGACACCACCCAGCTTTGTGACTTCTGTGCTGTGGTGTGGCTGATCCTATCGGGGCCCTGGGAGTCTGACTCAGTAGGGGAATTGTTTGGGTTCAGAGTGCTGTTTCTTCTCTCATCCAATTGTTGAGAAACAGCTGGTGGCTTCATTGACTATCTTGGTAGCTCTCCATAGCCAGGAAAGTCACTGAGGCAAACTGGAGGTGAAGACAGCAGGAACTTCTTGTTTGTAAGTTTAAAATTTGTGTGAACGTCCCCCAAGCCCGTTCTGACACTGCCTCTGGAAGGACACCCAGGAGAAGTGAGCAGGTCATGGAGGATCATCTCATTGTTTTTATTCTGTTTGGATGTGAGAGTCAGACTTAGGGCTTTCAAAATCCTTTGTGGCTCTGCAAAGACTCCTTTGCCTCTATAATCCCTCTGTATTACAGAAGAAAGCTTCTTACACATCAGACAAGATATCAGTTTGATTGGCTAGGAGACAACGTACTGTCTTGTGGCTCCATTTTGTTGGTCTTAAGATCAAAAGCCATATTCTATTCATACACATTGTATAATAATAATATGAGTAAGCATGTTCTGAATTTAGTTCTGGCAGTTGTTGAGTAAGAGGGACTTGGGAGGGGGGCTGGGGGGATAACCCCTGTTTCCGTCTTGGTGGTGCTGTCCATCCCTGGGGAGTGTCCTGCCTTCCCACGGCCAAGGGCTGGGCATGGACTTGACTAGGCCAATTAGATTCTCTGCCCTCAGACTTTTGGATGGAGAGATGCAAAGAGGGAAATACAGATCAAGTTTCTTCCTTCGACAACTGTGATGAGACAGCCTACACCCTCACACCTCCCTTGGCTCCTGTCTGTTTCTGAGCCTGGTTTGCCATCCCGATGTAGGCTTCTCTGAGTGAACTGTTAATCTCTCGCTACACTTCCAGTGGGTTCTGAGTCAAAGTAAATTTAAGACGCTGGCTGACACTACTGGTTTAGTCCCAGCGGGCCTTCTCCTGAGTCTTGTACATATTCATGTGCCTGGTTAATGTCCAATGTTTTATGGCATGCAACAGAATGATAATTTGGCTAAATTCACTAACATGGAGACCTGCAGGCCACACAGGAAAGACAAATGGGGTGACTGGCAATGGTTTCAGAAAGGAGAGCTGGGGACAGGGCCACTAGGAGACGTGCGCCTCATCTAAAGGCGGCTTCTGCTCCTCAGCTCCAGCCTGGCTTAGTGGGTTATGTTACAGTGAGTTTGATTTGCCAAAGGCTCTGAAATGATGGCAACTACACCTGAGCAAAGGTCGTATCCAGAAGAACCGTCCTCATGGGGTCGCAAGCTGGAGTTTGCAGGTAGCCTGGTTGGGTTCCAATCCTGCTTTGTGTCCTAACAGTGTAAGCCGGGCAGACAGCTCTGCCTTTCTGAGTCTCAGTTTTGAGCTCTGCACAATGGCACAGGTGATATTATCCGCCTCGTAGAGTTATTGTAAGACTCAGTGACGTGATGCTGGTCAGGCATTTCAACCCAGGGCCTGGCCTGTGGTAAGTGCTCAATAAATTGCTGCTGCCTCCCTCTGATGTCTTTTTGTGTGAACAGAGAAAATTCACCTTAATTCTCAGGAAAATTAGATCACTCCAGGAATGATACAGGTTGTCATTTCCTTGGGGCGGGAGCTGGTTGGGAGCTGTTCATCACTGCACCCCAGTGCCTGGCACGACACGGGGGCCCAAATATTTTAATTGACTACTGAAGGACTCAAACTATTGAAACTGAATTTTTATAAGTGTGAAAGAGACATTATGATACTTTATATACTAGACTTCTACTATTTAGGAATATGAAAATCCATCTATCCATCTGTCCATCCACCCATCCATCCATCCTCCATCTATCTTCAATCCACTACAAGGTCAATTGTGGTTTTACCCATTTTGCTACTGCAAAATCTAAGGAAGAGAGAATTAAAGGGCTACCTCTGTTAATCACATCAGTACAGGAGTGCACCTCCTAATAGCTGGTGGGCTCCTGAAGAAGTTATGGGGCCTGGAAATGAAGAGTGTCTGCATTGGTGCCCAGTTGCCTGGGCTCAAGCCCCACCTTGGCAACTTTCTGGCTAAGTAACCTGGGGAAGTCATGGGTTTACCGTGTATTCAATGGAGATGGTGATATCTGCACAACTTAGGGTTGTGAGAATTGAATGAGATGATGTGTGTAGACTCCTTAGGACAGTGCTTGGCAAATGGCGAGTAGTCCAGCAGATACGAACAGCTGCTCCCTGAGACTTTCAGCAACATGAGGCTGTATAATTCCTGCCTTCCTGGACTCTGTCCCACTGGCATCCCCCTAACAAATCTGAAGGGTGAGTTTGCCTCCTAGCAGCACCCTGTCGCCTGTGTGTATAAAGATACCTCTTGTGCACTCCCTTTCCCCAGCACAGCTACTAAGGGGTCTCCGTGCCTGGATCTTGGTTGATGCACCCGCGTTTGGGGGACGGGTGGACCTCCTCCCGTCTCCCTCACCCCACACAGTTCTGATCTCCATCAGTGGCCAGATGTCTGGGTGAGGGAGCTGTGACCGGCTGACCGAGAGCCTGCGTCTCTCTCCTCCTCTCTTGCAGGGAGTCGGACCTGTTCCTGCTTGACAGCCGTACTCTCTGGGCCTCGGAGGAGGGCTGGCTGGTGTTTGACATCACGGCCACCAGCAACCACTGGGTGGTCAACCCACGGCACAACCTGGGCCTGCAGCTCTCCGTGGAGACCTTGGATGGTAAGTCCCCAGCCACTTCCCCAGCTGGCTCTGGTGCAGCCCACACTCCTGAGCTTATGGAGGATCGCAGCAGTGTACACGCTTGTTTCCATCAAGAAAAGGCTTCTGTGCCCCCTCCCCACTGGTACTCAGTGTTCAGCCCTTTGATCCAAACAGAAAGCAGCCCCTAGCCCTTCTGCATGAGATGATTACACAGCTGGTCACTGCTGGGTTGGGTAAGGCCTTGTTGCTCAGAGTGTGGTCCGGCAGGGTCAGAAAAGCAGAATCTGGCCCATCCCAGGGCTGCATGAGAGCCTGAACTCTAAGGAGAGCCCCAGGTGATGCCTGAACACGTAATAGTCTGGGACGTGCTGATGCAGGCTCCTCCACCTCGGGACACAAGGCATTCTGGGGTGTCCTGTGCATTGTAGGATGTTTAACAGCGTCCCTGGGGCCTTTACCCACCAAATGCCAATAGCATCTCCCAGTTGTAACGCCCAAAAAATGTCTTCATGGCTGAAAATTTAAAAGTTACAGGTGTGTGCAACAGCGAATAGTTTCCGTCTGACTTCCCCCAGCTGCTGAGTTCCACCTCCCACTGGCAACGGCTGTTTTCATGTTATTGGATACCTTTTCAGAGATGCTCTCTGGGTATTTAAGCAATTGCATATAGATTCTGCTTTCCTTTTGTATTTTACATCCACAAATAGTGGCAGAGCATTCAAGAGCTTCCTCATTCATTTATCGGCGTGTGCGTGCGTGTGTGTGCGTGTGTGTGTGTGTGTGTGTGTGTGTGTGTGTGTAGTGAGTGTGTTCTGCCCCTCGCTCACTGTGCAACCCTTTACCTTTCAGAGCTCAGCTCCTCATCAGGCAGGTAATAAGAGGCCCTGGGTCAGTGGGCTGTTCTGGGATTAAATGAGTTCCTATGGGAGGAGGAGTTTAAACAGTGCCTTAACCCGCATCAGAACCCCGGGGGCATCTTGTTAAAATGCAGGTTCTGATTCAGCAGGTCTGGGGCAGGGCCTCAGAGTCTGTATGTCCAACCAGCCCTCAGGCGATGCAGAGGCCCCTGGTCCCTGGGCTGTGCTTTGAGTAGCAAGAGCTGAGAGCAGGGTCTGGCTTCTGGTACACACTCCCTAAATGAGAGCTGCTGTTGCTGTTGTTGTTGCTGCTGTTATCACCACCAACAGTGACTTACCCAGTCCCCCCCCGACAGACACCTCGGTGTTTTCTAGTCTTTTGCTCTTACAAACAAGGCTTTGTCGTTGTCCACTCATGAGTGTAGCCTGAAAGCGACACTGTCTGATCAGCCGTGCTTTTGAGAGGTCGTGTTAATGTGTCCTCCTTAGAGGTCTTTCCCTTCGTGAGGGCACCTGTCTCCCCGTCTTCGTCAGCACAGCTTCTCAACAGCTCGTCCTGCTCTGTTCATCCGATAGGTGAGGAACCAGGTCTTGCACTTTTGCTTTGCTTTTCTCGCTCATATGTGAGGCTGGGCCCTTTTGCAGGTGCATCCCTGGCAGTGTCTTCCCCGTGTCCTGTCTGTTCACACCCTCTGCCCATTGTTCTGATCGGGTGTTGGTCTTTTTCATCTTTATATTTTAGGGGCACTTGGCCCTTTGTGATTTGAGCTGCAAATCGTTTCCCAGTTTTTAGTTTTTCTTTCTACTGTGGCCATGCTGGGTCTTGCCAAGTGGATTTAGACACTGTAGCTGATTTTATAACCTTTGCTTTTATCACTCCTGGGCCCCTTTTCCTTCCTATTAGAGGCCACTGCTCTTTGGTCTGCAGGCGCCCATCTGCCTGGGCTTCAGAAAACCAGAATTACACACCCAAGGCCATGAGCCATACGGGAGGGAACCACAGTTTAGGACCATACTTGTTTCCAAGCCGGTCTTCTTTCTACTGGTCCCCTAACCTCTTCTCCCTCCTTCCCCTGTCCATGCCCCCTGACACTTAAAGAGGGTGCTCCAAGGTGCTAGGTTTTTCTATGTTTTTGTATCGTGTTGGCAAACTATGCCCAGTGGACAGAATAGGATAGTTTCCACATTTTTAAAGGGTTGAGAAAAATCAAAAGAAGAATATTTCGTGACATGTAAAATTATATGAAATTCCCACTTGTCCATAAATAAAGTCTTATTAGCACATAGCCACATTTGTTGGTTTATGCGTTGTCTAGGCCTGCTTTTGTGTATTAAGAGCAAACTTGAGTAGTTGTAACAGAGGCTCTATGGCCCATAAAGCTGAAAATACTTATTATTTTTAGAAATACTGACAGAAAAAATTTGCAATTCCTGCTGTATACCAGCATTTCTCAAACTAATTTCTGTGACGTGTCAGTGGGGCCCCAGGGAAACAGGACGGAGGGGAGTCATGATCGGTGAAGTGCGAGAAGTGCTAGGTTGCATCTCTGCAGGACTTGTCAGAGCTTTTGTTTTGCTGATGTCCATTGTGAATCTCCTGATGGGGAATATAGCACAAGGCATTCCAAACTTATTTGGCACTAGAATCATTCAGCTCTTCTTTTTCCTTGAAAGCCCCCGTGCAGCTTGCTGGTGATGAGGTAACAGTGAGGCTAACGTCCACTTGAGTCCTCTCTTCCGAGGGACCGTTTCCCTGGACTGGTAGGCGTTGGCTAGACCTTCCAACTTGGCCCCAACGGGTCCCGTGCTTCTCCGTTCTGCCTGCCCTGCTGGCAGGTGGCCCAGGTTTGGTTTTTCTCTTAAGTGACACTCCACTCAGTTCCCCCCAGTGTCAGTTTGCCATCATCTTTCTCCCCCAAAGTCAGGGTCTTTGATCCCCTTTGCCTCTAGCTTCTGCTCCCCCCTAGGCTGTGGGTAAGGCTCTTATCGAGGGTGGCACAGCGTGATGGTTAGGGCGTGGGCTCAGGAGCTGGCCAGACTCCCCAGGTTCAAACCCCAGCCCTGCTGTTTCTAGCCATGTGAGCCTGGGTGAGTCACCTAATGTCCCTCACCTGGCAAGGGGGGTTAATAATAGTTTCCACCTCCCAGGTGGTTGTGAAGGATTAGATGAGCTCATGCAAGCAAAGAGCTTAATCGCCTAAAATGCAGTGGTTCCTCTTCTCAGCACACATTAAGTGCTGTATGTCACTGTCTCCCGTAATCCTCACCATTACCCAGTGAGCTAGATACTACTGTCACCATCCCATGGTACAGGGAGGAAACTGAAGCCCCTGAGAGGTGACGGGACCCCTCTCCATCCACGGGGAGTGTAGCCTAGTGGTTGCAAGACGCTGCCTAGAGTCAGGGCAGGGATTCGACGCTGTACCCCTGACTCGGTGCCCCGTCTCCTCCCCGATTAGCTGGACACTGGGGGCTGGGCATGGGTGCCGCTGCTGTGGGGCTCCGCCTGTCCAGGCTCTGTGCGTGCTATTTGGTTGCCTGGCTCAGGGGAGGGTCAAGTTTACCAACTGGCCAATTGAGCCAATTAGGCATGTGAGTGTTTGGACTCTGTGGGATGGGTTAGGAAGCAAGTGAGCCCAGCATTTCTGAAACCAGAGGCTCCTGGTGTGAAATGCTTTTTTTTCCCCAGCCATGGAGGGTCTCCCGCACGGTGTCCATCAGAATCCCCAGGGAGGATAAGCATGATAGCGGGGGTGGGAGGGCAGTAGATGGGGGAGGGGGATTGTTTCTGTGCGAAGGGTGAAAAGGATAACTGTTGCATTGTTCTGTACACCTGAAACTAACAATAAAAAAATAAAGACTCCCCAGGGAGGCACGGTCAGCATACAGATTCCCGGGCCCCACCCCACACCCACTGGGCGAGTCCCTAAGAGTGGGCCCGGGAATCTGCCTTTTCTCACAAGCTCCTTGGGTAACTTGGGGACTGGCCCGGTGATAACACCCTGGCAAAGTTGTGCCCTATGTTTTGAGTTACCCCATTAATAAGATGGTGCCCAGGCTGACTGGCTCCTTTCAGGTTCTGGGTCTAAACCTTTTCCTGTTAGATGTCTACACTGGTGAAAGACCAGAAGGGCCTGCTGGGGAGTCTGTGGGTTCTGGGGTCTGTTTGCTGGGCAGCCTGGTGCCCACCTACTGTGTGCCAACCCTGAGCTGCCTGTAGAGACAGCCTGGTCCCTGCCCTGGGGCCTCCTAACATAAACTCCGTGAGCAAGGTGACCTCACACAGCACCTGGACAAGCCGGGTCCCTGCCCAGCTCCCAGTCCCCCATCAGGAAGGGGAGGAGACAGGGCACTGAGTCAGGGGTACAGCACCCACTTCTTGTTCGGAGTTACACAGCATCTTGCTGCCGCTAAGCAGCTGCTGGCATATGGAGCCCTGTCACCGGTCAGGGCCTGTTTCCTCACCCATCCAATGAGCATACTGGTGACAGTGACACGGACGGACGAACTTGCTTTCATCCTAGGGAGGCACAGACATCACAGACCTTCAGGAGCCTGTGTTTGGCACGAGGAGCCCCCCACTCACCTGGCCTCCAAATGCCGCCCTAGACCACCCAGGAAGCATGCGTGTGTCCCCGCTCCCTCCTGCTGTGGCCCTCCTGTTAGCCGCCCCTTGGAACCGCACAGCTGGGCCTCCGCTCTGGGGATGTGCCGGGGGTGGGGGGAGAGGGGAGAAGCTCATAAACTCCCCGGCACCTGTGGCTTCTCCAGAGCCAACTGGGGAGCACCATCTCATCGCCAGGACAGGACTCCACAGGAAGCGGGGCTGGCATCTGCTTGTTTTTCCCTTTGTACAGAAGAGAGAGGAGAGGCAGCCCTCTCCTCCCCAGCCACACAGGCTGCACCCCAACCCCATCCAGGGGCAGGTGGGAGGGAGAGGACGGGCTTCCTGAGCTGAGGGATTTAGGCACATCCTGGCCCCACCGGAGTGGGCAGCTAGCCAGCTGACAACGGGCTGTCTGCGCGGTGCTGGGGAGAGCTGAGCCCTGGCTGCAGGCCCGGCCCCGGGCTCTGGACTCCTGTGCAGGGGCGGACGGGGGACCGGCTAGCGGCTCCTGCACAGACAGCGCTGTCCCCGAGGCCACCTCCCGTGAACTTGGG